ACTTCTACTTCTGGTGGCACAGAAGTAGGTTTGAGAAATAGAGGTTCTGTTGTTTAGCCTAGTTGTACAAACCATTGTAGGCATAACTGTCCCAGGTTATACAGAAATCTTGAGGGAGAATTTTAAATAGTTTCAAGCAAAAACAAAACAAAATCAATTAGGTGAACACAACAGCGTCTTTTTAACTGATGAGACTATGATGTCATTTAGACAGTATGCAGTCTGTAGCTACTTATTATTTCAACAAACATGCTGTGACTTAGCTTTAAGTTTGCAAGGTGATCCTGTGACTTCTTTTGTCAAAGATACTCAATGTAGGACATGTCCTGCCTCTCTGCTGGGAGAAATCAGCTGCCCCTTTTCCATGGACTCCAACCTCAGAGATTCCAGACAGACTGGAACCTGAAGGATATGAGAAAAAGAGGTCAATTGTGGAACAGACAAGCAGGTTCATAATCAGGGCATACACATGAGCCCCCAGGTGGGTTTCAGAAGGCAGGTTGAGAGATGCTGGGCTTTCCCCCCACCAGCCTAAGATTTGTGATGTCTGAAATTATTTCTACCTGAGGTAATTCTGAGACTTCTTCTGGGTCTAAGGATTTTATGGTTGTTGTTTTTTAAGAAATACAAATCAGACCACTTTGAATGTAATTGTTTGAGTTCCACCTGAAGTATTGTTTTATTTTGAAATTGTCTGTGGTGATATTTTGTTTGTGCTTTAACAAATAAAGCTTGCCTGAAGATCAGAGTGAGGAGCTAGCTACTAGTTAGCCATAGAGGCCAGACAGTAGTGGCCACTCCTTTAATTCCAGCACTAGAGAGACAGGCAGATCTTGTGAGTTCAAGGTCACCCTGGGCTACACGACATCAATCCAGTCTAAAAGAGAAACAGCTCACACAAAGGTGATCTCAGCACTTGGGATCCCAGGCCTTTAATCCCAGCACTATTGAGTAATATAAGGTGGGAGGAGACAGGAGCTCAGGGCAGTCTGAGGTTTGGTGGAAACAGAAGCAGCCTGAGGACACAGTAGAGGTGAGAACTCTAGTGCTGGCCACTTTGCTTCTCTGATCTTCATAATCAATCCCAATATCTGACTCTAGGTTTTTATTATTAATACTGATTAGAATTCAGGCTACAGTAATAAGTGTTTGGCAACCTAACTAGGAGCTAGAAAGCTTGGGTCCAAATGTGTGTCCTCAGGGAACACTTACCTAAGTGACTCAAATGTGATCAGAGACTGAGACCATTACCAAGAATACTGTATACCATTTGAAGCCAGCATCCAAGAAGCAGTGCAGAGAATGCTGTATACTTGGGGGCTGCAGGATATAAAAGGATACTAATAAAATGCACTGGAGCACAAAGGAGATAGAATGAGCAACACAATAATGGAGATGAAAGAGAAAAGGAGGAACTGACTGCAGGGACACCAGATTAACACCATACTTTTGAACTAGATCTACATACACAAGCTGAACAAAGTAGATAGCACTTCAGATGCAATGAAAGTACTTTCCCATTTTTCTCATATTTCCACACTCATAACAAATGAACAAAGGCTGGACACAGTTGTGCACATCTGTAATTCCAGCATTCCAGAGGCAAGTGGATCTCTGTGGGTTCAAGCCCAGACTGTTCTACAAAGTGAGTTCCAGAACTACCAGGGCTATGTTGACAAACCCTGTCTCAAAAGGAAGAAAGACAGACAGACAGGGAGAGAGAAACAAAGAAAGAAAAAAAGAAAGGAAGGAAGGAAGGGAGGGAAAGGGAATTTAGAGAAAAGGAGGATTTACTTTAGTTTACAATTCCAGGCTACAGTCCATTGTTGTGGGGAAGTCAAGACAAGAAGCTCCAACAGCTAGTCACATCACATCCACAGTCAAAAGCAAAGAAAAATGAACACACACATGCTTGTTTGTGTAAGATTCCCTGCTCTTACACAAATTGAGACTCTTTGCCTAGGGGATGGTGCCTCCCATAGTGTGCTAGATCTTCCCATAGCTTAATTTATACAATTCTCCACAGATATGCCCACAGCCTACCCCCAAGGAAGAATCCCTCACTGAGACTCTTCCTGGCCATTGGACATTGTGTAAGATCCACAAAACTAAGCCTCACACCGGAAACTTGCTTTTCTTGACCTACCTCTGTATCAGGGTCGATCTCTGTGGGTTCAAGGCCAGACTGTATAGCTTCCCCAAAGCTGCTCTTCAGAGCCACCCTCATTCTTATTGAAATATTCTTCCTTTTGATTTCTAACACACTTCTAATTTTAAGAATTCTTCTTTGACTGCTCCTTGTTACTTTTCATCTCAGCTGTCTACCTGTCCCTTGGAGGCTGAGGATCCTTAAGATTCTGGTCCTAGCACTGTTCTTTCTTCTATAATCTATTTTGAGAGGCATTCTAGAACAACAGTGAAAATCGAAGACACAAGAACTGCATTGATCCTGTTGTTTTCCAGCTGTGTGGCCGTGGGAAAGTTACCTAACATCTCTGATACTTCCTCACATGTTGGGAGATACTATAATAGAAGCCATTTCTGAGGGTCACAAAGAGGGGAGCTACATTCTCACATGTAACAAACATACCACAAAACACAGTAAGCTTTAGGTGGCATAGCCATGGCTCCAATTATCACTTAGTTAAAAAAAAAAAACAAAAAAACAAAAAAAAACAAAAAAAAAACTCTACAAGTCATATACTTGGGATTATTTGGCATTAAGTTAATTATTCTCTAACCAGACTTTTTCCTGAGCCCCAGGTCTGTCTGATCATCAATTAAGCATTCCCAAATGCTCATTAACTCAACATTTACCAAGTAGCTAATTTCTGTCTTCCCACTCCAGCTTTAGCCAAAAACTTTTATATTTGTTTACCTGTTTGAATAACAGCTCTCCCTTTTGGATTCTTTTTCCAGAAAAATGACAGCACAGTTAAGCAAGGCCCAAGCTTTTGAAAGCTAATGTCCTCTTCTTTCAACTAGTCCTGTCTTAATCATAACATAATCTCTAACGGAGTGATTCAGTTTAATCTATTTTCTTTTATGGATTACTGCTACAGTTCTGTTCCCAACCACATCCTCATTTCAACTGCCTTTCCTCTCACACTATAATTCTTTCACACTGAAATGGGGAAGTGTCATCTTTTCTAATATTCCTATCATTTTTTTCCATTAGCTTCAGTATAAAATCCCTGTTTTTCACTTTGATGTGATACTTAGCTTTAACTGTCAACATGACACAATGTATAAGCTCCCAAGAAGAGAATCTCACTTGGAAACTGTCTACATAGGGTTGGTCTGTGGGCATATGTATGTACAATTATCTTTGGTTACTTGATTTAAAAAGACACAATCTACCATGGGTGGCACCATTCCCTAGGCAGAGGGTCTTGAACTGTATAAAAGTGGAGAAATCAAGTTGAACACAAGCAAGCAAGCAACTGAATGAGCATGTGTGTACCCTTTCTTTCTGTTCTCGACTGTGGATGTGATGTGACTGGCTAAGTTCCTGCTACCTTGACTGTTTTTATGGACTGAAACCTCGACTGGTGATTGAAACAAACCCTTCTTCTGAGTTGATTTTTGTCAGGGTATTTCATTCCAATAACGTAACTAGAGCATGATGCTTGTTATTGGAGGTATTTTAGTCACTTTCTCTCTAATTTCATTTCCCAGACCTCTGGTTGTTTCTCTATCCTTCACCATCATGCTTTCCTTAGTATTAGCTTGTGGTGATATATTGTTTATGATCTAATAAAGACATGGAAGAGCAGAAAAGCAAAGCAGCCAAGCCACTAGCTCTTAACCTCTACCTCAGGCTGAAAGGGCTGATCCTGTCTCCAAGATTTCTCTCCAAGCCTCAGACTACTGCTGGAAAATCAATCTACACATGAGACCATTTGCTTTTTATACCTCCCTAGTGCTGGGATTAAAAGCGTATGATTCCAAGAGCTGAGATAGATCATCTATGTGTGAGCTATTTCTCTTTAGGACTGGTTGAATTTCATGTGGCCTTCAACTAAACAAAGATCCATCTACCTCTACCTTCCAGGTGATGGGATTAAAGATGTGTATCACCACCACCTGGCTTCTATAGTTAACTATCGAGGCTAGCTTTGCAAACTGATCTCCAATGGCTTTATTAGATCATAAACAATATATCACCACATAACCTGGGATCCCTTTGCTCTGTTCTCTTCCTCTGTAATACTTATATTGTTATACTCTCTCTACTTCCTGTAACACTGCTCCTAATTGAGTTTAAAAGGCCTAAATGAGAGTTGAGTGTGGTAGTATGTGCCTGTAATCCCAGAACTCAGGAGGCTGAGGCAGGAGTTTGAGGCCAGTGTGGTCTACATAGCAAGGTCAAGACCAGCCAGGATATACATACAGTGAGACCCTATTTCAACAAACAAACTAACCAAAAGATAGTTAAATAGAGGTTAGAATTTCTAGAATTTTACTGTTTGTTCAAAATATGGTCAATTCTCTCTCTCTCTCTCTCTCTCTCTCTCTCTCTCTCTCTCTCTCTCTGTGTGTGTGTGTGTGTGTGTGTGTTTTCCTGAGACCCAAAATGATTTTCTGTTTATTTATCTATCTCTGCTTTCATCAAATGGGTAAAATGGTGGAAGGATGAAATTTAAATGTATCTTTTATTAAAATGTTGTGTTATATAAATGGTGAGGGACACCATGAAAGGACAAGAGGCACTCCCCCCCCCACACACACACCTTTTTTCCTAAGTAACATGTTTCTGCCTCATCTCTTTTCCTCCCTCCACCCACCCTCAAACTTCTCTTACAGTAAAAGTCACTCTGTGTTCTTTTTAAATCCCCAAGGTTTCACATTTTATTGCCCCAAAACGCTGCACCACCAAGGTTCTTGTATAGACTGGTTATTTCACTGTGAGAAGAAACTGTTTAGTTCATTCTACCTTGGAAGAGCCCAAGAGAGGTAGTTCTTGTCTCTTTCCACTCCCCTTCTCCCCTCCTTTCTGGCTGGAGCAGAGGCTGCCAATCTCAGGCACAGACAAGGCAGACAAAGGTTCATTTGTAAAGAACCTCCTTCCACCACCTCCTCTCTTCTCCTTTGCCCAGACTACCCAGTCAGCTGGAGCATTTAAGAAGGTTCTTCTGTCAATAAGACTGAAAAGAAAGAAAAAGGTATGGATTTTTCTCTATGCAAATGTTTTATATCTTTTATTCTCTTCTAAACTGCTGCTGTAGATTAGAGCAGAAATATATGTGTGTGCTGAATAGATGGGAAAGATATGGAGACTGAGAAGTCCTCTAAAAAAATGGTACATGTACCTGTGAAGAGATAGGTCCTGAGATAAGGCAAAAATATCTGATCCAAACAGGGAAGCAAATGCATTGCTCACTGACCTTCATTTAATGTACAGATTGACTCTGCATCTATCTTCCTCAGAATTATGTGTGGGTGTTGAAGTATGTAAGATTTGCTCTGTCAGTCCTCTACATGAAGCTAATTGCAATGTCAAAGAAAGCAAATGGTTTTGCTTTTAGAAACTACGATTCCTGAAAAGAAACTGGTAGCAACGTGAGACACAAAGAGGGAATTCACTGCCTGCATCCTTGGTGTTCTCACCATGGAACACAGTACAGAGTCTGTGCTTGCTCAGATGAAGCAAACACTCTCCCTTCAGGACTTAGAAAGATACCCTTTTAAGATTTCTTGACTCAGTTACTTGCACAGAGTATGGCCGGATTTCCCCACTGTTACTCCTTTTCTCCTCTGATGAGTTATTGTGGTCAGAAAAAAATAAAATGATGCAAGATTGGGCACTAGCATCATCTTGTAGCATGGTCTGAAAAGCCCAAAGGCAGATCTCCTTTGGTGAATATGTAGACTACTTTGCCAAGAGCAAAGGTATCTTCAGGACCTACGCTGCCACACATGGTACAGGAGTTTTTGAAAGGTGTATCCATTTCCTGTACCATTTTTATCCCTTTGCATATGCTATGAGATATTTCACTTCAGACTGTCCTAGTACAACCAGCCTCAAAGACAGATAATAACAAAAGGTGAGAATTTTAAAAATATCTGTTGTTGTTGCTGTTGTTTTCAGTGCCCAAGAGAGCACACACAACTAAGACAACAATTTTAATCTCTCCCAACTATCGTTTTTCAAGTGTCAAACATTGGGGGCTGTGGTTGTCCATTGGTTTTGCAGGCTTTCTTCTCTCTTGCCAGTTGTTGACAGACATCTGAAAATGGGCTGCTCTTTGAGCATAATTCATCAACTGTTTCATTCCTCTGCTCTGCAAACTGGTTTCCAGAACTGATATCAGCTGTCTGGATGAACTGTACCACAACTATCTGAATGTGTCAACTCCATCTCCCTGTTAGTTTTGCCCATTAAATGGTTTAGTTTTTCTTTTTTACATCCTCATTTAACTCCAGCCATTCAAAAGCTTGCCAAAAACTCTCACAGAACTAAACTTTGCGACTCCCAAATGGCAGTGCAATGATTTAGTGCTTGTGTGGAAATGCCTTCTTTATAATTCTGCATCCACTGCAGTGAATGAATTTTTTTCTTCTGATAAAGTGTATGATGGGTGTATGTAAATTTCTAAGTATACCAATACTGCATTTTAAGTGGTATCATACAATATTAGGAATAATATTAAGGTCAGAAAATTGATTTTTTTTTTTTTTTTTTTTGGTAAACCAGTGCATAACCAATCTCAAAGGTTCTCCTGTTCCTTCAGAGCTACAGTCTTCCACTGGCTTTTTTTGCAAGTTGAATGTTCTCCAGGAAGAATTTTAAGTGCATGTGTATGACCTAAAAGAGGAAAAATGGAGAACAATTTCCTTCAAAATGACCAGTCTTCTCGCTTTGGCTGGCATTCGAAAAATATTAACTTTGATGGATTTCCAAGAATCATGGTTGATGTTTCTTGCTTTTAAGAAAAAAAAATGACAAATATACCCAGGGAACAAACCAGTCTGAACACTTTTCCATTTGTTATGAAGAACTAAAGCTACTTATCTGAACCTAAATAAAGAAGGAGCGAGTAGGCTTCAGTTATAACCTGTAATTTATGAAGTGTTAAAAAATTAAAAAAAAAAAAAGCCTATCAAAAGTGCTGTCCAGACATGGAAATTTCCATTGCTGTAGACTGAGCCTTAGCCAGAAACACTACTTTGTGCTCTGGCACAGGCGTGAGGTACATGGTATGGCAATATACCTGCTTTTCCAGAAATTTATTTGCTCATTCCTTAAGTGAATGTTTCCATTTTTTTTCTGAGTCAAGGCTCTGGAGTGATTCTAAAAAATGTTTTTCAGCCCAGTCTTTGCCTTCATGATCCCGGCATCTCTTCTTCAAATCTCAGATCTCCTCTTGCTTCTTTTCTTGACCTACACTCTCTCCTTGTCAGGTACAGGGCTATCACTACTATCAATAAACATCCCCTTACTCTTATATTTCTAGTTCCAACCTTGATTTTTTAAGATCATGGTGTGTTGATTTGAAGGAAAATGGCCCTCAAAAGGAGTAGCGCTATTAGAAGGTGTGACCTTGTTGGAGTAGGTGTGGTCTTGTTGGAGGAAGCATGTCACTGTGGGGGTGGGCTTTGAGGTATCCTATGCTCAAGCTACTCCCAATAAGACAGACCACTTCCTGTTGCCTGCAAGATATAGGACTCTCAGCTTCTTCTCCAGCACCATATCTGCCTAAACATTACCACATCCCCCATGACAATAGTGGACTGAACCGCTGAAAGAGTAAGCCAACCCAATTAAATGTTTTCCCTTATAAGAGTTGCTGTGGTCATGGTGTGACAGCAATAGAAACCCTAAGACAGAAGTCTTAGGATGACCCTCCTAATTATTTATTTATTATTATTTAATTATTTATTTATTTAATTATTACCACAGTATTTTTCTTGAAGTTCTATGAAATTGTCTCCTTTCAGTTTAAATAAAAAAGTGTGTGTGTGTGTGTGTGTGTGTGTGTGTGTGTGTGTGTGTGTGTTTACATCACAACTGTGAGTCCTTGGAGTTATAGTGAGTTGCTTGACATGGGTACTGGCAACTGAACTAGGTGTAAGAGCAGGAAATGTTCTTGACTGCATAGATGTAGCCATCTCCCCAGAACCTTTATATTCTTTTGAAAAGTTTTTTGTTTTGTTTATGTGTATGTGTGTGATAGAGACCCTTGAAGAAGCAAGCTTCAGTTAATATCACATATAACACAGATTTTCTCAGCTTTCCACTAACTTGTCCTTTGACCTTAAACTCATTATCTTACGAGCCTGTACTTTCCCAATCTCCTTCATGATTTATAATCTCTTTCTCTTGACTTATCTTCTATGCAGTACATCAATGATTGAGTTTCCCTGAATTTTGCCCCGGATCACTTTTTTTTTTTATTAACATCATTACTGAACAGAAATCTGCAAATCTACAACCAAAATGTCAACATCAGTCTTCCCTATACTAAGACACCAGTTGTTTTTTTTTTTTTTTTATGTTTTTCTTTCTTTTTTTTTCTGTATGTTCCATGCATATAAAACAAATAAGCCAATTTTTAGTTATTTTTAAAGCTGTGTTTGTTTGTTTGTTTTTTAATGTCATGTCATGGTGGCACATGCTTCTGATTCCAGTACTCAGGAGGCAGAGGCAGGCAGATCTCTGAGTTAGAAGCCAGCCTGATCTACAGAGTGAATTTTGAGATAGCCAAGGCTACACAGAGAAACACTATCTTGAAAATGCAAAATCAAAATAAAACAAAACAACCACACCAACAACAAAAATCCCTGTTTTATTTTTTTCCAAAAAGGTAGGTGTGTGTGTGTGTGTGTGTGTGAGTGTGTGTGTGTGTATTCCACATGGATGTCCAAGGATAACTTATAGAAGCCAATTCTTTCCTTGTACCAAATGAAGGTCCTGGGATTAGAACTCAGGTCAAGTCATCTATCCCTATAGAACTTGATAGCAAGCATCCTTACCTACTGAGTTGACTCACCAGCCCAGATTTTCACCTTCAAAGAAGCTTTCTATGGTCTGTCACAGCCAGCTCCCATGCTCTGTGTTTCCAGAGATCTCATGTTTAATTGTACTACAAGAGCTGTGAATTCAACTAAGTAGTGTCTAATTATTATCAATACTCAAATCGTTCACTGCGTGGAGTTACTGGTAAAGGCTAAACTTATTTTTATATTCTTGAAATCATCTGGGATTCTTGGTTCTTCCAATAGTTCTTGTTATAAAGGAAACACTAAAAATATTTGTTAGGTTAAACAAGATAAACTAGCTTGCTTCTCTTTTCCTTTCTCTGACACAATTGCTCAGGGACTATATTAATGAATCCCACACTGTGCATCCTGTGACTTCCTCCCATTCTCAGCATTGGCTGTACTTCCTGTGAACAGCTTTGCTGGCTTGCTCTTGATCTGGGAATCTGCAGTTACGAGTCAAAGATAAGAAGATTGGGTCTTGAAGAAAACCATCCCAGGTTACATTTCAGTGGCTTTATTTTACGCAGAACAAAAAAGAAAAGGATTATGCCAGCAGTAAAAAGGGCAGCCTGAGTGGCTCATTGTGCAGACTTTAACGGCTTCTATTTGTGTTTTGGGATCGATCCAATTGCCACTAATCTAATGTGAGTGACAAGAGCTGGAGGGACTATAGCCCAATGAAGGGAGAGTAATAGGCAAAGTATTACTTGGATAATTCAGCTTAAGTATTGAAATTGCCAAGGAGGCATACAGCTGATACTTAGGATCTATAAAACGTGGGTATCCCCTTCACATCTCTCTAAAGATGGATACCTACAGTGGGAGCTCTGTAGATTTTTGTTTCTGCTCAATATGGAGTAACAGAAGCCAGATTTACCTGTTCTACAGAAGCAATACCAAACAAAACAAAGTGAGTGGGGAGGAGGGGGGAGTGAAACAAACATTTGTGGAGATAATGGAAGTTGAGTCAGGAAGGACACTGGTCCCTGAGACAAAAGAGGAGAGCCCTAACATGTTCCCCACTACTTCTTAAGACAGACTCTAAGCTGCATCTCAGGAAAGGAAAACTCAGGGCCCTGAACTGAAAGTCAAGGAGACCATCCATGGTGGTTAGAGATCATACACCAGAATACTAAACTCAAGACAGCTGCCCAGGGAAAAAATGTTGAAGGTCTTCAGA